TGTTAACCAAATATTCTGGTATTTTAATAATTATATTAAACTGTAACAAAGAAATCCATTTGTGCTCATTTGTAAAGAACTTAAAGTTTTGGGGTTATAAACCAAATTACATGTTCTGTTTTCAATGTATAAAATTAATTCAACTATGTATACTTTCTAAAACTTTAAAAATATTTATACCAAAGGCATGATTATCTAGGGACATATAACTTATGAAAAATTGTTTACAATAAATTTTTTAAGTGAGAGAAACATAATTTGCCTTTTTAGGAAATATAACGATTTCCTCTTTATTTCATTATCTACCAATTTTGTATTTCTGATGACAGTAATTATTTTTAGCATATGTCAGTAAGTTCTACAAATATATACTATTAGCAATACTTACAAAGGTAGATTCAATTTCTATCAACTGTTTTATTCCTTTATTGTCTCTTTTAAGGGTACATGTTCATTTTGTGTTAGTAGATCACTTACCTATATCCTTGAGAATTCACAAATGAATACTATCTGGTTTTTCTAATATGCTACAATCTCTTTTCTTAAGATGATGCTTCACCTTTCACAGTTACCTTTAAAAGTAGCTTGCAAATATTATTCTACTGAAAGATCCCTCTTCTCTTTTCACAATTTCTGTAGTGAAGAAAGGATATTTTCTCTCTTTTATTGCTTCAGTGGCTCAACAAGGACCTTTGCAGCGGTTATGAAAGCCTCAGTAAGAAAAGATGACAATGTGAAACCTCTAGTTTTCCATGTTTCTATGCATGTTGAAATTAAATCTTTAAATTTCAATGAATTTGTGTATTATAAAATAAATGAATAACGTAGAGTGTGCATTTAAAAAACTTAACCTTTTTGGATATAGTCTACCACCAAGTAGAAAATTCCTCAATACATCCATACCAGAATTTTTTAAAAGGGGTTTAATGACTCAGATTTTATGAAACAAAAGAAGTCAAGTAAATAAGACTAAAAAAAAATTGGAACTAGAATTTATTATTCATGACAAAATACATTTGCCACATTTACATATTTAATGTAGATTTTTCCATGTGATGTTCTTAAATGCTTTTGCATTCAAACATTGCTACCCATTTCATAGATTAAGAGGTAGAGTATGGTTATGTGTATGTAGGATGGATATCAAGTAACTTACTGAGAATTACATGGTGGACAATTAAAGGCACTGGGAACTGAGCATAGTTTTTGTGGACTAAAAATATTGCCTTTCCAAATGCATCACTAACACTCTGCACCAATGTTAATTTAAAAGTCTCTTATATGTTGTTCTAACAATGTGTTAATATGTATATATGTGGATGTATATACATATATAACAAACACATATACTTTATATTTTAAACGCACAGACACAGACACACACATTAGATTCAGATGGATTTTGATGAAACTGCCCTTTCATAGGACTTTAAAAAGTCTTGTTAAAAATGTTCCTCCTTTGAAAGAAAGCTTCTGTGAAGTAATACAGTCATATTAACTCAGGCAGGTACTACACTAGATTTGAACTCACTTTCAATATTAAAAAATCCAAAATCAGTCTTGAAAATCTTAAAATATTATATGAAATTGTTGTACAGATAAGTAGACATGTACTAAGGATATTTATATAAAATTATGAGCAGAGTATTCTCTTTGTAATTGGTTTAGATGCCAGATTGCAACTTTGACACCGTTACTTATAACTTATCAAAGACAATTTATGCTTTGCAACTGACATTTTAAATTGGAGATTTACTTGAACTGGTACCTAATGTGTTTTCTGTAATTAATTCCTTTGAGGTCAAGTTTCACGGACACAGGATTCCTTTAACATTAATCCCTCCTTTAGCAATATATTTATTGTTGGAATTAACAGTTGAAAAAAAGTTAGTCTTTTTTTAAAGTAAGATTCTCAGTCCCAGATATTGTTTGTTTCATCAATGCAAGACATTCTGAGAAGTGCAAAATATCTTAAAAGTAGGTGCTGTGGAGTCAATGCATGAAAAGAGCCAGAAGTTAAATCAATCATATGTTAATACAAAATGGAAAGTTTAATTATGTAGATACTTAAGTTCTTAATAGAACTCAGTAATGGAGGGTGTGTCTCATTTTAAACTTTATACTACTATTCAGGTTATTTGCAAATAATACCTAAAACTTATAAGCTTTATATGTTTTTGCTGGTTATTCAGGAGACGTTAAATAGGTTATTTGGAGGACAGCACAATTTGTTGGATGATGATGTTCAATAAACTGTTGAATGAAAATGAATGACGTTCTGATTGTAGCTGGTTTCCAGTTTTAAGAATGAGAACAATATATTTAAAAGTTGGGAGACAAATAACTGAATATATAGTAGTTTACTATTCCCAAAATGAATTTTGTTAAGCATGAAAAAATGTTTATCAGTTAGGCATGTTTACCTTTTTGCAGTAGTTAATTATGCTTTTTCGCATCGTCCAAAGACAGACAAATCTCGGTTTTCCTTCTTTAGCATCTG